CTACGAGCATTCGTCGCAGCAGTCAGATGCCGCGAAGGAATCTGACTAAGAGCAAAACCATCCGAGATCATGACGAAGCATTCCGAATTATAAGGGTTCTTCAGCCATGGTCAGGTCCATCGTACCAGTGGGATGAGGATTCGCCCACAGGTTTGACTCACTAACCTATTAGCAGGCGATGTGGCCACTGTCTACCGACTTGTGTTTGACTGCCGAGAAGACATGGACGTCGGGGAGCGGAGGGAAACGAACATCAGTCGTCCGTCCGGAGACTGACTCGAGGTCAGAGGCGGCAATCCATGTCGCGCACATAGGATATATTTTCAGCTTTCGTACCGTCCACCTTTTCGGCCGAGGCAACAATTTCACATAGAAACAGGTGCATGAAACCTTAATGTCTGCAGACCACCCACTCAGCCGCAACATAAGAGTATTCGTTCCCTATCTGATTTTGAGGACCTCCTTCACACGTGGTCATGAAAACATGGTACCGTCAGGGTCCCACATTATCGTCGTGTCGGTGCAAGACAGGTCATAAGTGAATGGGAGTTACAGTGTTCTTTGCTGACACTGCGAATAAGGTATAAATTAAATATGGATAGTGGGGTAAAACATACCTTTTTAAATTACTATATATATGGATTGGGAAAATTTATGTAGCTATTTAAATAAGCGTTGTTACCAATTATAGGGAAGCGTTCGATTATAGGAAGTCAATACGACTACTGAACACTATACTTACTCCGAAATAACTGAACAGGTTAGGGCAAAACACGGTTTTAACTTTCTTGTCTAAAATTATAATTACAAAATTTCTAGTCCCTCACTGGTGGCCTCTTAGCATTGCGCGACTCAGTAAGAAGGGAGGATTTCTTTAACTAAACCGCCAACATGTGTTTTATTCTGTATTTATTCATCACTCAATCCCGCTGCAAGTTAAAAGCACTGTCACTGGCAGGAAAGGAGGTCATAGACGGCGAATAGCAGTTCGGAACGACTACCATGATCTTTTTGAAGCAAGCAGCTGGACAACCGTTAAATTCTAATCTGACGGTACCTATGTTGTTACCTCCGACTGGACGCGATTTTCGTTCTATCTCCTGTCAGGCGTTTTAGCAGTGTGTTTCTTTGATTCCATTCCTTGTCCACTTTTTGACGTGTCAGAATATCAAAAAACAAAAAGCGAGACCTAATGTGTTACGTAAAGATTCATGCAGGCTTTTTATGTTCTTCCGGAGCATGACGAAATTTTTTCTTGGCCTCCTGCTTCGCCGTTTAACCAAGAACCACCTCCACGGAAACTTTACTTAAATCCGAGGTAAAGCTTGCTTTCTTTCACCAAGATTTTAGCTTTCCAAGGTGACTCCAGAACGTAAGATTGGATGTGTGGTAGTAGTTTAAACTGGCTGTTTGTTATTATAAGGCAATCGGTTTTATTCTCGTTTCCGAAATTTATTTGATGTTATCGCGCAACGTGGCCATAGTTACTTCAGATAGTCGTTCTTCAATAATTCCTACTTTGTCCGAGTACAAGCGGACACACTCCCAACTGCCTTTCTATTCACGATATTATATTTGGAAGGTTCGTCATCCAACCAAAAGTCAAACAGATATATTTCCATAATTTGCCCAAATCTACTCACAACGACGCGTGGTGCACATCTGACGTCCAGTAATAATTAGAACAAGTGGGGAATGGCAGAGCTTCTCAATTTATAGATTTAATCGCCAACAAGTTCCCGACCATGCCCTACGTGTTCAACATTTCCTTTAAAGCAATACTGTAGGTATTGTAACAATTTCAGGTTCAGTCTATACTGCTATTTATTCTGCATTCAACCATCTCTGAGTCCCATCAATTGAGATTTCAGGCCGGCGAACATAGTAACCTACGTTTGTTACCAAATCAGATTTGTAAACACTATGAACCTGCAGAAAGGAGGAGGTGGCTTTCAAGTTGTTAAAGGTAGTAGGAAATGAGCGAGCGGATGGCTTGCAGGCACGGCATATTTAAATTCTCTGTGCCATCCTTTGACTGCCTCATTCTCAGTCAACTGGGGAATCACTGTTCGCTTAGCATGACTCACAGGTGCGCATGCCAGTCAATTCGAGATTTTTTCAACAACGGAAATCGCTCACTTTGAAAACCGACCGAAACCTAACGTGACTCGTCGGTCATTGACAAATGTTCCAGCATCCCGGCGATAAACTTTACTCACGGTTTAAAAACTTCTAATGCAGTATATTAGCCCAGATGCGATTTTTAATGACTGCTATTGACAGCTAGGTGGTTTCACAGCACTGGCGATTCCCATTTGCATGCGGCGAAATTTTAATTTCTGCGTTCTCAATCGTCTTAAGTGGATTATGGTGAGCAAGAGCAATACTTTAACACTACGATCTTTCATACCTACAGTGCGGTATGGACCTATGCAACAAATTAGGCCAATGCAGAATACGCAGGCCCAGACGTCTTCTGCATTACCGTTTTTGATCATTCGTTTTCCTCAGCCGGATGCGGACTCCTTCTAGATTGACTTCAATCTCACGATTCCGCAACTACATAGCAATGCTCGAGATGGTTCCTCAATTACCTATTGTTCTGAGCAACACGAAGCAGATCGTGTGTTCAATTGAGAGACGCAGTTTCAGTGGACCTTGTATCATATGCTGCTATTAAACTTATCAACACAGAGCAAGTCGTTTGTCCTAGACCAAACAGTAATATATGCAACGCAGCATCTTTTCCTGGTAGTCCTTGGTCTCGTTGATGTCATGCATATTTAAAATGCAGTTTTTATCGCGGTAAGATCCTGTATCAGGAACAACGTACATATTCGATCCCGCGAACTGACGGATATGTCTTCATGAAAGGTTAATTTAATAAAACGCATAGTCTGCAGCTTAAAAGCCAAATCGGCTGTCACGTGTTTTGCCAGTGTTTTCGGCTGCCAGGTTTTGGTAATGAGCGCATTTTGGATGCGGGAGGTACAATTAGTAACCTTCGCTTATGCTTAAGACTCTAGTAGCAAATTTGGCTATATCCTTCTGCATCGGGTGTTTGAAGTTTAGTAATCTTATACCAGAAGAGGCCATTGCTTGCGCCGTGTAGTTCATGGCTTTGGTGAAATAGAGGAATAAAAAGCATGGCCTTGTTGTTTGCTTGTCAGTTACTTCCTACGGACTTCCACTTACTTTTTTCCCATTTCCATCTATGCATAAAGGCCATCCCGGTCCGCTAGAAACCATCCTTTGTTTCCTCAGGGACACTTTTGCCTATTTGACAAAACATTGAAGTGCGATTTCTTTCTCGGCAGTCATGCCGGTCTTGAGTTTAGTCACTATTCCGATCACAAAGCCCCGTGCAAGTATGTTTACAAGTGATAAAATATTTCAGGTATACAGCAGTCATTTGTTGCTTTTTTATAGGACTGTTTCAATGGACTGCTTGGCATTTCTCGTCTCTTGGAAGTTTACTATAAACAGCTCTCCACTCAGGTAATCTTTGGGGGGGGGGGAAATTGGTTTTGAGAGTTTAGTAAAATGGGCTAGCATTAAAATGCGACTTAGGATGAGGGCTTAACAAGCGATTTAGGGTCATGTGATCAATAATATAAATTACGGTGTTTCCAATCAGAAATGAAAGCATAACAGTCAAATTGTATGTCTACTCTTAAAGCTTTCATCTGGTTTATCTGAGTCCATTTCCCGGTCGTTTCGATCAAAATTCACTGGGAGTTGCGACCTTTCCGTTTCCTTACGGGAGGTATCTTTAACTTCGTACTGGAGTTTTGGATAATTTTCCGATTTGCTTTTGTGTCTTCTGTTACTCAAACTTATTTTTCTCAAGCTGGGTGACTGTAAAATACACATATTGACGAGCCTATTTAACCATGTTGATTGCAGTCGAAAACAATCGTTAGCCGAAGACATGTCGGCTCGGCTACTCTACTTCCGTGTCTCGTGGCAAGGTCGTCTGCCATTCCTGTTCTAAAACTGTCATTTATGGTGGGCTATTGAATGAGTAGTCCGCGATTTTTGCTCACTTCATTCCGTCTTCCCTTTAATCATGCACATGTAACTTTTAGGCCCGAATCGCTTATATTGGCGGCCAAAGTCACCGAACTGGGGCCGAGTTTTATATTTTGCACACATCACTTTAATTTTCGGAGTTTTACTTACATGAGGTTTGGTTCTGACGCATTCGGTACATGAACTCCCCGATCCGAACGACGGCAACTATAAGCTCACGCGTTTTAATGAGATCAAAGGCATTTTTCAAATGGATAATGAACGCGTTTACTAGCTGTTCGTCCTCCATTTTTGGTTAACGAGTCCCTCCGAAACTCGTTCATTACTTCATTCTTCAGAATGAACCGTTCGGATTTTTGGAAATTGACATGAGAAGAAGACGGTTTATTGGTATCTCCATAAGAAGATCTGTAAGCCATGTTGCTTCACCTACAGTTTCAATTTATTGTCGGTTGATTTTATGGCCTCTCCGCCTTTACAAACTTTTTTATATACAGCTGAATGAGGACGCCCGATGACACGTAAATAACAAATGTCAGAGAACGGCAGATTGCATTGCGTTGGTTCCCATCACCATCTGTTCTATAGATATATACAAACTTGGAGATACTGTGTTCCCAGACCAGGGCACCCTAGAATGCATCAGTTTACATGAAAAAGCTTGCGTACCAACGGACGACATTGCATAGTACAAGATTTGGTTTACTGTATTCTTTACAGTGTCACCGATACCACATCCAAATGTCCAAGAACTTGCTGATGCATTCCGGTAGCAGTATAAGCTTGAAGGGTGTGATAATTTAAAATTTATTTCACACAGTTATCACTGTCTCACTGTTTACGAAACGGTGTCGTTCGGCCACTTTATGATTTAGGCGGGGTGGGAGTGACCCCCGGACGTCACGAGATTGGATGACAATCTTCCATACTCAGTCCGTACCATCAGTGTTTTGTTACATTGTTTATTGCTAACTATACTCTGATGATGGTGAGGAGGGGGAGGGGGAGGGGGAGGAGGAGGAGGAGAAGAAGAAGAAGAAGAGGAAGAAGAAGAAGAAGAAGAAGAAGAAGAAGAAGAAGAAGAAGAAGAAGAAGAAGGGGATGTCAATGAGGACGATGATTGTTATTATCACTCTTTGATCTCCCTTGTCTTTCTCAGTAATAGCATACCGCCTATATCGTGCGCCACTGCGCGGCTGCTGGTTGGGCTCGAGAGAGAGCCCATAAGGCACAACGGAACGAGTGAGTTCCGTGAGAACGATCGGTGGGCGCCATTCTACCACTGCTACTATCATTATTACTATCCCATAAAGCATGAAGTCGAAACGCAAAGCTAAAAGCTTCCTTTCTTCAGCTTTAGAACTTCCTTCGGCTAGATCGCAGTTGGTAGCCAGGAATGGGCAGGCGGACGGCGACCTTAACCCTAATCATTACCTTAACCCTAACCCTAGCTCTAATCTCAACCCTAAACGTTAACCGTTAACCCTAACGGCAACCCTAACCCTAACCGAAATCGTAAACGTAACCGTAGCCCTTAGATATAGCCGTAACTGAAAGACCTAACCGTAATAATGAATTCTAATCGTACTCTCAAACCCTAATCGTAACCCGAAAACCTAAGCCTAAAGGCAGAACCCTAACCCGAAAATCGGAGACCATTAACCGGTACCCTAATCCTAACCTCAGAAGTAAAACGGAAGCCAAATGGGTCAGATGTGATTATGGAGCCCCACAAAATAACCCCAGTGAACAACCCCCCCCCGCCACCTCTAATACGGGTCCTGGCTACCAACTGCGATCTAGCCCTTCCTTCTTCTCAGTTAACAGCACTGAAAGACGATTCGTTATGACTTAAGATTGCCAATATTAAGTGAAGACCACGCGTCTTCTCCACTTTAACATGGTCAAAGCTACTGTCAATGAGGTACATTGTGCCTGCTTTGCTTCGTCGCATCCTAATTAAACTTTTTACGACGGTTTATAAGTAGACTTGAAGACTCGGTCGGAGATAGCCACCTGTCGGACTAGCTTTCACCCTTCCCGTGTCTTACCAACTATTCAAGCCGCTAGGCAAATCAAGAAAGTACGACAACGTGTAGTTTTCAATTTCCTTGAAAAGTATTTACATGGCGTAAAGGAATTTCGGGCAGTTATATACGCAGGTTCTGTAATGGAATACAGAACACCCGAGCAAATGTTGCTATGACAACACTGTCCGTGGCAGAGGCTTGATGAGACCCCAATGGTACAATGAACATGATCATTGAGGAGCCTATGTCCAGAGGAGAAAGGAACCAAAGCTATCTGGCACCAGTATGACGCAAAATTTCTTTTTTTAAAGAGCCGCAGCTGCTCCTGCAGTCTTCAACTGGCCATATTTTTTACCCAAATGAGAGGGAAGTGCACGGATCTATGCTGATTGCAGGGCCGGAATGAGCATTTCCGTTTTGTCTTGGAGCTGAAGCTCTGCGGCCCCAGCGGGCGGACGCATGGTGACTAACAGTTAATAACTCAAAAGGACAGGTGCAGGGACCGTGGAGTGATCGTAGCGGGTCACCGACCAAACCCTGGCTGCACATCCGAGAATCGAAGCCCGAGCCGGTTTCTTATACAGCAGTTTACACAATACCGCATTTGCGGACTGGCGTCATGTCTGTCAACCTCCAGAGAGTATTTTGTGAGACTGGCGTCCATCAGTTTGTCATGACTTCAGCACGGATGCGCGTTTCCGCGTTGCCTTGGGGCTGGGCATCTACAGAGTACGCAGGTGGTGGCATGGCAACTAGCAGTTTATCCGAGTTGGTCCACACTGCTACTCTAGTGTGGTCGAAGATGTCAAAACTCAGTCGACATAACAAGCGCCCCTAATCCAGTTGTGGGGAAGATCTGTCGCCTAATTTCGGGCCATTATCGACGGATGATGGCAATTAAACCAGAAATGACTGTTTCAGTCTTCCTGTCCTTACCTGTACTTCATCTCATGTTCTATATGCTGATTGAGCGATATGTGACTGTTGGGGAACTCCCGTCATTTGTTTTATTGACAGTTAATCCTGACTTCTTCAGAGTAAATATTCAATCACTCACGACCTTACCGTAAAGGACGCTGTCCCTAGTAGGCCGCTTTCCAAAATTTTTGTTGGCTACACTTTATATTGGGAGGATTTCATGATTGCACTTTGATAAACGAAAATGGAAGCGTTCATGGGGAGGGGGTACATGGTCTTGAAATTGTCCTTATTGAACTCGCCTGCAGGTTGGAGTGAACTGTCGCGCTTGTCTCGCGCCCCACCAGGCCTGTCAGATGGATCGCCACTGCCGGCTGTGAGTGAGTCATTTCTGCGCCCCCCCCCCTTCGTCACCCACGCAATACACGTGATCCTTCCGGCTCTGCAGACGGATTGTCGCGTGACATAGGCGCAATTTATTCATTTGATAAACGTTCGCAAAAAGTTTTTCTGTTAGTTTTATCGCTCAGCTCGACTGACCAACTGAGGAAACGTGGAAAATTTTGAAATTACATTGGACAACCAATGGTAGGGACAACAAAATCTACAAGAAGAGCTTAAAATGTGTATGAAGTGGAAGAGATACGCTAGCCGAAAGATAAAATTTTACCTTGGCGGGGAAATTGCCATGAAGTGCCCCGTTTGTAAGCCCGGATGTGGTTCAAATTTTAGGAGGTATTTTGGTTCCGAGGAAACCAGTCGGCTGCTCATGCAACGAAGGCAAGACTGAATTTCGGGTCATCAGAAGGTCTGCCGTCCGGTATGATTTCCAGTGCAGGCACGTTTGCGTGAATGAGGGCAACAACTGAACAGGGAGATTGACAGCCGCCATCCTGCATCCTTTAGCGGGCTGCCGTAACCACATGCTGAAACTACGACAGGAAGTCGTTATCGCTGCCCTTCCCCGTTTTGAGATGGGTCAAAGTGACTTATCGATAGGGCGCTGTGTTCAAGGGCGACGCCAAATCCTACGATGTTTTTTTTCAGATCACCATCTCGCAATGGGTGTTGTCCTGTTTCTAAGGATTAAAACTGGCGGAGTATGCCTACTAAATTGTTTGCTTTCATATATGGCTGAGAACCTACACTTCCGCTTTTATATGAGTCCGATGGAGACGGTTATGCGAGGCGCACAAGTAGATCGAACGGTCTTACCCTGACCAATTGAATGTAGACAGGACTTGATTGCCGTCGTATGGGTGTCAACTCCTCTAACTTCAGAAATCGATCTGGTAAGATGTTGTTTGCTAGCCCCAACTGATGGACTCAATACTGTTGGGGTTAGGGTTAGGGGTTATGGTTAGGAGCTAGGGTTAGGGCTAAAGGTTAGGGTTAATGGTAAGGGTTTAAGGTTAGGGGTTGTAGTTAGGGGTCAGGTTTAGGGTTAGGGGTTAGCGCAGCTATTTCTCAGCCAGTGAAATTACATTCGCGCACTCCCAATAGCTTTTCTTTTACATACAACTACTTGACCTTGTCGCCTGTGCGTATCTGTCTCCACCTGTAAAAACCCGATTACTGCAGGTTCCGCATTAGAGGTGACTGGGGTTTGTTTACCCCAGGTGGGGCTACAAAACCACATCCGACTATCGATCTTTACAGGAGTGCTTGCAAGAAGTCTTCCCGGCTGACAGAGTCACCTCCCATAATGGTAATTTACCGTCCTTTTTTTCTGTTTAGCTGAGATTTCCGTTCCGGTTACTTCAGTTATGACAGTAACTTGAGCATTAGCACGTGCGCGATCTGCATACCTTATATAGTATCGCCTCGCAGTTTAGTCAAGCCCTAAACACATCGATAAGGACTGACATCAATGAACTTACCTTGACAGTTTAGTCATTTTGTCGGCTCTTCGTAGTACCACCATCAAACACTTTAGTTGATGTACGTGATTTCGAAAGCGGATAGGTATCCCAACAAATGACACAAATGGGTGTGAGTCGAAGGACCAAGAATTTCCATGGCAATGTCAGGCCTATGGCATGATTCATTTATTCGCCCAATCCAGAACGGATTGACCGTATGACTGCCTCTTCCATTTGAAACGGCGCAGACCTGTATGAGCAAAAAACTAAACCTTGCAAGGTCAGTTTCTAATGAACGGACCGTCCCCTGTGTGCGGAAAGTGTTCCAGCCCGAGTGGACAGCGTCTTTTCTTTCCATTAACGCCGCACTTTGCTTGTCTAGGCTTATTCAAGGCCGTTTAATTTTTCTCTTATCGCGTCACCATTTCCAAAAGGCTAAAAGAACGTTGTATGCGATATCAGCCAAAACTAAAGCGCAGTTGCTTCAGGATGACTAATCACAAGTTTAGAACTAAGTTAACGTTTGTGAGGGGCACAATGCTTCACAGTGGGGATCGGTAAGCTACTTATTCAGCCACAACCGGTTACCGATTCCCTAACTATCAGGCAATCTTACCTCGCTTCGGTGTGACCGTTGATTTAATTTTTTTCATGTAGAGGCGAATGATAACATAAATAATATAGAATTAGCGGATTCTGGATGACGACGTAACCAGACGGAGTTCCTTGCAACTGACGTTGGTTACCTTAAGACCGTTGGTCGTATTCGATGCTGTAGGATAGACATGCTAACTGCTAAAATCCTTGACAAAGGTGGGCACTAGTTACTTTTATCCGGGAGTTCACACAGCACGAACTAGAAAAAAATTTCGTCCTGAGACGAGGTCGAGGTTTCGACTTTTCGAATCCTCACGGTGAGCTCTGTTTCATGAGCTATGAAGGAGCCGCTGCCGATTCTGTTAAATTTCACATTCTGTCATTCTTGTCGTATGAAGCGAACTTCATGTAGTTTGAGCCATGTTTCTGCTGATTCGCAAATCAAACTTGCATATGTGGGACATTATGTAACACAAGAAAGTCTTCACAGCCCTTGAAACAGTTACGTAACAATCATGTGCTTGATTTTGCGCACCGTTTTCGAAATGCAAACTTTGCAAGCCAGAAAACTCTGGCCCTAATGCAGAATCGAAATGCTAAAACCACTGCCTTCGAATGAATTTTGGAGTTCTTTTCCAAGCTCGTCCAGATTTCTGGCTTGTGAATTTCGCGCTCCCGCAAAAACTAGTAACACCAAAAATATAAGCTACTATGGTTGTATCAGGGGAATGTATGTTCGCTGTTGGGTGTCCCGTAACCTATCTTTCGATCTTCGCATCTGTCTACTGCCAAGGGCTGCATTCGTGGTTCTATGGGTTGGTACTAGTTGTGAGACGACCGTCTGCATCCAGATTCCTGAAATCACGGCACTTTTGTCTGGAAATGCTG